TGATCATGATTTTTGATAACTGCACTTCATCGCTTCTTCAGAGAATCTACGATACTGTGGCATATTTCCGGTGGTATGCTCTGCCATGATTGCTGCACTACGGTCCACAACTCGTTGTTGTTTTTGGGTTTATCCTTCCACACGGCTTTCTTGACGTCTGCCCAACGGTTTTCAATAGGATAAAGGCCAGGCGATTGAGCTGACCTATCCATAACATCAATTCCATTGACCCGAAACTACTCCTTTGCCACCCTACTGGTATGCTTCGGGTCATTATTCTGCTGAAATATCCTTTTCAGCGGGATGTCCTCTTCAGCAAATGGTATCATAATATACTGCATTATATCCACGAATTTGTGTCGATCCGTTATGCTAGTAATCGTGTGAATAGAGACTGCACAAAAAAATTGGGCCTGTAAGAAAAAAAACCCACCAAACCAGTAAATTCAAACCGCCAAGCTTCATAGTTTTTGTGCTGAATCTGGATTCGTACTCTCTATTAGGGGAGCGTCTTAGATACTGAAGGGACCATTTACCGCCGTATAGAATTACTTTCGACACGTCTGTCCACAAGATGTTGCGCCATTTCTCAATCGGCGAATTCTTAATCGGTCCTTTGGCAAATTTAAGACAACTTGCTATATGATTTTTTTTAATAACGGTACTTATCGAAGACTGCGGACGTATAAATTATGTTCATGTACAAGTCTTCTCACTGTATGAACACCGTAAGCCAGGTACAGTTCATTCCGAATCTCTATAGCTGACATTCTAGGTCGAGTCTTGGCACATCTTACAACTATTGGTGTAAAATTCTCAGAAAGAATCCATATTGCGCCCCTTTTTTAATCTTTTTTTTATAAATAATTGCATTGTGAGCCGTTGTGGCTTAACACCCTACAATTCTTTCCACTTCCTTGTAGGATTTACCGTTGTTTATGACAGATTGAATACATTCTCGTTTTTCGTCACTGCAGTGCTTCCCGCTGCCCAAAAAAAAGTGCAAAGTCATATTTTTTTTTTGGCTTTTTGCATTGAATAATTAATAAAAGATCTGGAAACTTACCTTTTGTTTGATAAAATAAAATTTTTTTATTAAAAATTATCTGTTTGCAATCATCTAGTCGTTCACTACTATTCTATTGCTCTCTCATGAAAACAGATATCCCAATAAAATTGGCTTTAAAAAAGTAACGGTACAAGTCAAGTTACTTTAGAAAGTTCGTAATTAATCGTCTTAAAATTAGCTTTCGCAAAGGTGAACCGGAAACAAAGGCCTTGTGCATTATTATGAGGAAAGTTAGTTATGATTTCGATGTCAATTTTCAAAGCAGGATGATACGGGTCTTCTGGCCGAATCAAAGGATCACATCGGACAACGRAGAACATTGAAGCGTTATCAACAGAAACTAGATCTAAGAACTTATCTAATTCGTTTGA